AACTTCGACATAAAGATTTTGTGTTGGAGCTTAATGCCTTGTCTAATTGGTCGTCCTATAATAAATCTCTTTAGTGGCTATTTTAGGTACTTTAGTAGCAGTTTCGAGATCCTTTTTCTTGTAGCAGTATAGAGAAAGGATAGAATATTTATTGTAAAAACAATTAGTTACATGTGGTTGGTTTTTAATGATATGGAGGCTTCCAAATAAGTAGCTTTGGTTTCAATCAAACACATGATAGCTTTATGGGGCTCAGGTGCACAACCAATATCTAAAATAGGTCAGACAAATAAATGACAATTTACAAATCCTATACCACTATTAGTAAACTTAGAATCAAACTATACAACTAGGAATACCTTTTTTTCTTATGCGACATTTGATATCCAGCACTTGCCTTATCAAACCTAAAGTCGATGACAACCTTGTAGATTTGCTCCAAACAATTGTAGTTTCATACTAAAAGGTGACAAAAATAGAGTTGGACTATAAAAACCATTTTTTTATCTTCATTTTAGAGGTAATTCCCTCTCCACCAGACCCATCAACATTTTTCCTTTATTCTCTATTGCTAGAATCTCTTATGCAAGAGATAGTTGTCTAGAAGGCATAGGGATGAACTTTAACATCTAGTTTAGTTGCTCCAAGGACTCCAATTCTCAGGTTGCTTCCTTGATCAAATTGCTTAGAGGCATTACTCAATTGGCTACTTAGCAAAAAAAAGCCTATTGCTCTCTCTTTAAGATCATTCTACTTTTTTGGAGGCTACTTCTCAGTCACCTTCCAACCAAGGATAACTTGAAATTGCTAAGGGGATTGATTTATTTGAAGATGATGTCTATGTGATCTATGGAAACAACAAAAAGGATATTGATCATGTCTTTGCATCATATAGTAATATCTCTAAGCTTTGGAAGTGCATTCTCAGTTGGAGGGATCTATCCTTCGTATGCCCAAACTTTAGTGCACTTCATCATCATCTAACTTTCATTTAGGGATCTAAGCTCTCATGGGGGTATTGGTCTTTAACAATTTTGACCACAAGTTGGGCTTTTTGGATTACTTGAAATAGTATTTTTAATAGAGCATCTTGGGACGAGAACATAATTTTTTACCTCAGATGGAGTAATTCTTTTACTTGGATAAAGAGGAAGTCTAAGAATGCCTTAGATTGGAGCCGTTTCCTTCATCTATTTTCTTTTAATTCTTAAGTCTTTTCCTCCAGATTAATGCATTTTCATTGAGAGTTTTGGGTTTTATGCTATAGAACTTTGATATGTGCGAGCCTAAAGCACCCTTTATACTCTCATTAATAATAGTTTTTATTCATCAAAAAATAAAAAATTGACTTGAGCATTAGAAATCATAAGTTGGAGCCACCTTTGGCTCACCTCTTAACATCTTTGCTCTACGGATCCTAGTTTTGCAAAATTTGAATGTATCAACTTACACCTTTATCTTACCAACACTTCTACTTTTTTAGTAGCGTTAATTTGACTAGTATCTTTTCCTTGTTAGCATTTTACGTTCCTCACACATTTACTTCTTTGGTAGATGTACTCAAATTGATTTTAGTCTATACCAAAAAATTACAATTTTTTGGTGTTTTGCTAAGCGATCTATCTTCTTTTTCATGATCACTTGTTATTTATTACTCATTTCATTCTAATTTATCTATTCATGTAATTAACTCTGCATGTAATTTTAGACAATATTTTTATATAATATATATATATATATAACAATTCAAATTTTTTTTAATATAAAACTCTTATTGAGTAGTTTTATTTGATTAAAAGAAATTTTAATTGTTATTGATATGTTATATACAAGAATTACATAAAGTTGTATACACAAAGGCAATGGATGGTTAAATAGGATTAGCTTTTTATAATATAAAGTGAATTAGAGTACTATTCATTAGTTAAAAAAAAAGTAATAACCTTTAGACAATTAAGAATCCACATCAAGAGAAAATTTATCCTTAATTCTCTTTTTATCCAACAAATTTAATTAGTTTATAATTAAATTTCACTAATTGTAATATCTACTAAGTAGCTCAATGATTAAAACAAAGTTTCTCAATAATCAACTAAATTTTACCTTTTCATAATATTGATACATATAATTGTAACAAATAATAATATTGATACATATAACTTTAACAAATATAATAAACTTTCTCTTTTGTTCAATTAATTTAATAGGTAACATGATTTTTTTTGCATAACAACGTAACTTCATTTTAATTAAGTGTTATACAAAGTTTTAATTGAAATAATGTTTAACATAAAAAATAATTTCTCTATAATTATTTAAATTTGATCTATTCAACACTATTAACATGTACAATTTCAATGAATACGACAAATTCCTTCTTTATTCAATTAATTCTACAAGTAACGTCATCTTTTTTTTTTTTACTTTTGCATAAGAACGTAACGTCATCTTAATTACGTGTATATAGAGTTTTAACTAAAATAACGTCATCTTAATTATGTGTATATAGAGTTTTAACTAAAATAACGTCATCTTAATTACGTGTCATATAAACTTTTAACTAAAATAACGTCATCTTAATTACGTGTCATATAAACTTTTAACTAAAATAACATTCGACTAGAACAAAGTTTCTCGAGAATCAACTAATTTTATCTTTTCAATAACGTTGACATGTACAATTTCAACAAATATGACAAACTTTCTCTTTATTCAATTAATCTTATGGATAACGTCATGTTTTTACATTCGACTAAAACAAAGTTTCTTAATAATCAACTAAATTTTTTAACAATATTGGAATGTATAACTTCAACAAATATAACAAACTTTTTCTTTATTCAATTAATCTTACAAGTAATGTTAATTTTTTTTTTTTTTGTATAACAATGTTATGTTATCTTAATTACATGTCATATAGAATTTTAACTGAAATAACATTCAACTACAACAAAATTTCTTAATAATCAACTAAATTTTACTCCCTCTGTTCATTTTTAGTAAATCTAGTTTGATTTTTGTCCTTTAGATCATGAATTTTAAATGAAAATTTAACAATCCATATGAACAATAATTGAAAATTTTTTTTATCAAATAAAAGTTTTTAACAAAACTATATGTAGGAACAAAAAAAATTTCAATTGTTGTTAATATAGATCATTAAATTTTCATTCAAAATTATGTCCTAAAAGTTAAGAAGTCAAATTAAATCTATTAAAAATGAACGAAAAGGAGTACCTTTTCAACAACATTAACGTATACAACTTCAACAAATACAATAAACTCTCTTCTTATTTGATTAATCTTACAAGTAACATCATTTAATTTGTTTTTTATATACAATAATATAACGTCATTTTAATTATGTGTCATAACAAAAATAACATCGGACAAGAACAAAGTTTCATGATAATCAACTAAACTTTATCTAATCAACTAAATTCTATTTCTTCAACAATACTAACATCTACAATTTCAATAAATACAACAAATTTTCTCTTCATTCAATTAATCTTACACATAACATCTTTTTTTTTTTTTGGCACAACAATGTAACATTATCTTAATTGTGTATTATATATAGTTTTAATTGAAATAATGTTCACCTAATTTATACATTTATTATTTTTAATTGGATTGATTTTGTATATATGATCAATCTATCTATTATACAAAAATCACTAAACTAAACATTTTAGGAAACAAATTTTGAACCCTAATATTTAAACATGATGAATATGATGATTTATGAAGGTTAAAATCCGTTTTTGGTTCCTCTACTTTAACAAAAAGCCCATTTTTAGTCCCTATACTTAAAATCCCTTTTTAATCCCCCAAAGTTTGAAATATGGCCCCTTTTTAACCCTTTCGTTATGTTTTGGCTGATATGGCATGTTAATTAATGGAATTGTTTGATTTTTTTTCTTTGTATAAATGACATAAAAAATAAAAATGTAAAAAATGATAAGGCGGCATCCCATATAGACAATGAACATAACATGTAATTTATAAAAACTAAAATTTTAGAATAATTACTTAGATTTGTATGTACAGGATGGATAGAGTGAAGTATGGTTGTTGATAGCGAGAAGCAAAAGAAGAAGAAGATGAAGAAAAAGAGAAACAAGAATTTAAAAAAAAAAAATGGGTTTTGGATTTTTGGTAATTGGTGAGGAAGGAGAGGATAAGACAGAAGGGGGAAGAAGATGGAGGCAAATAAGTAATTAAAGTCAAGTACTCCTAATGGCAAAATAACCTTTAAAATATGTATAATAACAATTCTGTAATTAAATGATTTTCAAGGTTATATTAGACCAAAAATTTGGCTATAGCATCAACTTTTACCAAATGGATTTTTTTAAGTAATTTAAGTAAAGAAAAAAAGAGGAAGTGTTTCTATAAATTAACATGCCACATTAGCCAAAACTTAATAGAAGAACTTAAAGGGGTCGAATTTTTAACCTTAAGGACTAAAAATGGGCTTTTTTAAGTATAGGGACTAAACATGGATTTTTTTTGTTAAAGTTGAGGGACCAAAAAGAGGTTTTAACCATTTATGAATCATGACCTTTTTGGATATAATGGCCAACTCACCATATGCTTGTTTTACCATAAGTGAAAAATTTTAAATTCAAAAACTTCCAAATAAAACCAAATTTAAACCTTTACCAATCACAAACCAATCTAATAAAGAAAAATATCCACTATCTATTTTCAAAAAAGGAAAAAAAAAAGAAGAAAAAAATGAGAGTAAAATACTCAAAAAAGATAGAAAAAACCAAAAAAACCATGCCTGCAAAGGGGTACTTGTCCAGAGTGTGTGTTGGTGACGCAACACGTGCATAAATGGCAGTTAGCGGTTTCATTTCATTGGGGTTACAATCCTAAACGGAGATGTCCACCCAAACCCCCCACTAGTCGTTGTAGGCCCCACACATGCCCCCTCCCACCCTTGCTTTTCTTTATATAAATTCCCGCACTCTAAACCCATTTCTCAATATATTACTCTGTGTGTGAATATCACCACCTTCCCCCCAAAGAGAGAATCTACGAAGTGTGACAGAGCCAAGAATCAACTTAGACTCGTTGGATAGGATTCAGAAGCTCTAGAGTTGATGGTATCCAATTTCTAAGTCTTTCTTTGTTTTTCTGTTTGGTTGTTTTCTTGTTCTTTGTTATAATTGAGGAGTGCTATTTGTTTTTCTTAGTTCTCATTAAGCTTTTTTGTTTCTGATAAATATAGTTTCTCAGTTTTTAGGCAAGGAAGTGGTGGAGTTTTGGTCACAAAATGGGGTTGGTTAGATCTTTGTTTGTTTGGTTTCAATTTTGGAGCCAAATTGGAAAAGGAGTTAGATTTGGTTCACTTGTTTTCTGTTGTGTGGCATGCAATTGATTCTTGATAACTCTTATTTCTCTTTTTTTTTCTATGTAGATATGTAATTGGAGACCTAATATTTTGATTGACATTGCTCTTTTATCCTATTGTCTTAGCTGGATTATCAAGTTTGTCGAGTTTACCATCTTGTAAACTTTTTTGTTTCATTATGCGATTTAGATTGCTGGATTATGCTAATTTGACGCATTGCTGGGGTTACTTGATAAGGCTAATGATCTGTCACTCATTATTAAAGCTGTTGCATTTTTTGTCTCATTCATAATCTCAATCTTTGGTTTTTGATTTTGGATTGCTTGGATTGATAGAAAATTTGGACATGACCTAAGATATCTTGTTCATTTGAGTTTATTTTCTCTTTTACATTTTGTTTTTCTTGGTGGATTTTATAGAATTTTATGTCTCTATGTGGGATATGTTCTCTCTTTCATTATGCTTTGGATTTTGTGGAGTTCCTTTCCACATGTTAGTTAATGTTTTCCTAGGAAGATTTCAAATTTTATTATAAATAAGTGTTTCTTTTTCTCTATAAAGATTGATGGATTACAATCGTTAGTTGAGCTAAGTTGATTGCTTGTGCATTTTTTTATGATGATGAAGAAGACGTTGGATAGCCCATCCGATCTTACCTTGAGGGGTTTGCCAAGCTCTCGCGAGCAAGAGAGCGAGTGGAATGCAGTTGATCTCTCCAACAAAAAACACCTAATGGAAGATAAGCAAAGCCATGGTGGGGATCACTCAGAATCAAATATGCTTATCCACAGGCTTGGCCGAGACATGTCAATTAACTGTCTTCTTCACTGCTCGAGGTCTGATTATGGTGTGATTGCAACCTTAAATAATGGCTTTCGGTCTCTTATAAGAAGTGGTGAGTTGTACAAGCTAAGGCGACAAATGGGAATCGTTGAGGATTGGATTTACTTTTCTTGCACCCTCCTTGAATGGGAGGCTTTTGATCCTCAACGTCAACGATGGATGCATTTGCCAAGAATGGATTCCAATGAGTGTTTCAAGTGCTCTGACAAGGAGTCGTTGGCTGTTGGAACTGAACTTCTTGTTTTTGGAAAGGAAATAATGTCCCATGTTATTTACAAGTATAGCATTCTAACCAACACATGGTCATTTGGTACAAAAATGAACACACCAAGGTGCTTGTTTGCATCTGCCAGTCTTGGTGAAATAGCAATTCTAGCTGGTGGTTGTAATCCAAAAGGCAATATTTTGAGCTCAGCGGAGCTATATGACTCGAAAACTGGCACATGGATTACTCTTCCAAACATGAATCAAGCTAGGAAGATGTGTTCTGGAGTATTTATGGATGGAAAATTTTATGTCATTGGCGGCATTGGAAGTGACAAGTCCAAGATTCTTACATCTGGGGAAGTGTATGACCTGAAAACAAAGACATGGAGAGAGATACCTAACATGTTCCCAACACGAAATGAAGAGTCTGGGTCAATTGAGGTGCTTGCTGCTGCTGAGGCACCTCCCTTGGTTGCAGTTGTAAATAATGAGCTTTATGCAGCTGATTATGCAAAAATGGAGTTGAAGAAATATGAAAAATGTAGGAACTTGTGGATCACACTAGGGGGGTTACCTAAACGGGTAGCTTCCATGAATGGTTGGGGAATAGCTTTTAAGGCATGTGGGGATCAGCTAATTGTTATTGGTGGACCTAGGGTTTTGAGTGGAGGGACAATTGAGCTCAACTCTTGGGTTCCTAATGATGGCCCACCACAATGGAACTTGCTAGCCAGGAGGCCCCAAGGTGGTAATTTTGTTTATAATTGTGCCATAATGGGATGTTGAATTGTGCATCAAGTTTTGGCAAGTGGTGACACAATATGTCATATCCATCGCATGAAGTTCTTTCTACAGGAAATTATAGCTATAGCTTGCAAGCTAGAAAGGGTTTTAAAGGGCGAGTAATCTCTGCTTTCCTTTTTTGGGGGGAAATTTTAGGTTTAAATTTTAAGCCATAGATATAGTTATAGGAGGAGGTCTAAAGGAGGTTTTAATTTAGACTTCTAGTTCATCTTTAGTTCCCTCCTTTGTTCTTTTACCTTTCCTTTTTCTTGTTTGTTTTTGTGTTTGTTAAGTAAAGAGTAAAATGTTGTTTTTTTATTTGGTTACCATCAAGGCTTGTCAAAGGTTGAGTCTTGTAGAGATTGCATTGTTTAATAATTTCAAGTACAATCAATGTTAGGTTGTTTTGAATAATCAAAAATGTTCTCTTACATGTTGCATAGACTAGTTAATGGATTTCATGATGAGCAACTACTTGACTTCTGTTTGGAAGATAAATAAATCCTCCTTCCTCTTTGCCAATGGACATAAGAAAGAAGAAAAGCATCCAAACAAGGATAAGAAATTTTGCTTGCTTTTGTTTTTAACAGATTGTAATATTTTTTTCTATTCACTTAAAAGAATTTCTTCCAAGGCTGGTAATTAATTTAAACTCATTTTAGTATTGAATGACTTGACTGCATTGGTGCCTTCTGGTAATTAAAACTTGACATTTGTGTATATTTTCTTGTTTTATGTTACTGAATATATATTGGTGCTCATTGCTATAGGTTATGGCTTTTGCTATTTCTTGGCAAATATAGGGCATTCCACCCAAGGGGATTATGATAAGAAACCATAAGAAGAGATTATGCAATTCTCAGGTCTAGAAAATTTGTGTCTACACTAAGGAGAGTTTTTGGAGCTTGTTGAGAACAACATTTTATTAAACAAAGTAGGAAAAATAAATTTGGTTCATTTTGCATGTTAAGAATACTAGTCTAGAGAAGAAATATGCCTCTAATAATAATAAATAATAATACAAGGATGTTGGTTAAATATGGACTGATTTGTTAACTTTATCGAACAAGATGCATGCTTTGTTGACTCTTGCATAAAAATTTTCTTTATTTAGGTGAAAAAGTTAGTACATAGCTATTGTAGAGTTTGAACCCAACATGGTCTCCATAATTAAGATTTTGAAATTGTAGGTACCAATTCAACTAACCTCTTATCGATAACTTTAGCATATGAAGGCAACTTTGACAAATCATTAAGATGACCAATTTCATGTAATCAAGCCTCTGCATAGTTTTAAAACATCAAAAGGTTTATAATAATTCTTTCCACAAGATTGGTGATAAGAAGTGCGATCATCTTCTTGTTATTTAGGTTCAAAGGTAGAGAAAAATAAAAGCATTTGTATATTTCACTTGGGTAACTGTTATAAAAAACCTCAAGTAGCATTTGCTTGAAGTACTAGGGTTTGAAGTTGAATCACCAAAATGCCCATTACCTGTGTATAAATTGCCTATGACGTATGAGTCCCAGGCAATATGCAAATTAAAATGTGTTTCAAGCTTTCATTTTTCCTATTTTTCTCCTTCAATCTTTAATTTATACCATGCTGTGACCATGATGTTTAGTTAAATTGCACATCAAACTACTAACCTAATATGTCATTTTCAAGACTCATGTTCCTTTGCTAGTGCATTAGTTTCATACTACTTCATTTACAAGTTTTAAAATGTTTAATCTTTTGTTTCATCAAGTTTAGTTCATGTAGATGATTTAAAATTTGTCCTTTTTTTCCCAAGAGATTGAACTTATTCATGAAATGCAAATTTTGGAGCAGGGAAAAAAAGATTCAAAAAAGGAAAGGAAAATGAAAATGGGAATATCCAAATAAGCCTTGTGATCTGTACTAGGCTTTTTTGGTTATACTCTTGTTGCAAAATATGAGTAGATTTTTTGTTAGCTCCCAAAAGAAACATTACAAATTTGATTCTGTCTAGCAAGAAAAACGATTTCCCTAAGCTGTTATGTGCAACAGCCAGACAACTTGTATAATAGGTCTGCATATGTGGGCTACAACATTTCTTGCATTTGGAATGTCTATTCTTTTGGAATGCTATTTCTATGTGTTGAATTTCGATTCAAATTTGGTTTATGTCCAAATCAAAGTTTTAGAAGAAAGAAAGAAGTACACGAATTGACAGTTTCAAAGATAGGAAAAGGTCCACTATCACGCATGCATCTATATATATATGATGTATATCTACATACACTTTTTGTATATCTACCACTGTGAGTATACAATTGGTGATAAACTAGATCTAGAACTTATTTTAAATCTCCATTTGTGCTTAAGGTAAGGAAGTAGACTCCAAATGCTAGTCACGCTTGGTCCTAGTTACAGCTCCCATATTGTGAATCAAATTGTTGAAAGACCAGCTACTATTGATGCTAGTAAGTGAAGGTAGGAGAGTAAGCTCTAAACTATTGTTCATAGTGAAACCTCTGTAAATGTTACCATGCAACAAGTGAAAAGACAAGCAATTGAGGCTATAGATACTTGTATAACTGGGGCTGGACACTAAAAAGGTAGCCTTTTTTGGTGCTAAAGAACAAATAGCACATAGTAAGAACACCTCTATGGCTAGCTGTAGACATGGTCGTCCTGCTGGTATAAAATAGTTCAAGGTCATTGTTGAGGGGCAAAATATATTTTCTACCTCTTAGATTTTGTTAAAGGAAATGTAAGGTCAAAAACTTTGGTGTTATTTGGTTTAGTTGTTTCAAGTCACATATGGTTAGTTAATATTCAAGAATTGGTATTGATTTTTATAAACAAACAATTAGTATCATTTTGTTAGATATTCACGATTAGTTATGAGTTGTTCCTAAACAGTTAAACTAAATATGGCAAAAGTTAACTCAACCCACCAATCTCACCCAAATTGTTTATTTAAAATGAGTTATGACTCAAAACTCTTTAACTTATAAACTTGTTTAGCCCAACTCATTTGACATGTGACCCATGTGAAAACGATTATAACTTCTAAAATTATAAAATAAGAGCGTCATAAATTGACTTCTTTAATTTGAGAACTCATTTGATTTAACTCATCTGACTCATAACTCAAAATGACCCAACTCATATAATTCATGACTCGAGATTATCCAATCCACTCATCTTCCATGTCTATAAGTAGACCTGGCAAACGGGTGTGTTGGGTCGGGTTCGGGTCGGATCAACTCAAGTGACAGGTTATATGGGTTGGGTTATAAACGAGTTACATGTTGAAAAAATCTAACCCTAATTCGACCTTAACGGGTTATAGGTTAATCCACGGGTTGACCTTATTTTTATTTTTTATAATTATTTTTCGTTAATTTTATTATATACAAATAAAATTATATATATCTAAATCTAATTAAA